GTCATACCAGCCACATCCAGGAATGCCATCAGACACACAGAACCAACCCAGCTTGGGATTCTGCCAACCAGTGCAGGCCTGAGGGAAAGATCAGGGTGTGGTGCCAGAGGGAGTTGGGTGATGACACACAGACTCTACACTGGGAGAAGAGGGAGTGAGGGGCAATGTTGATGCTGGAAAGATGTAGACAAGGGGCATGGCAGGCCGTGGGAAGGAGGGTCCTGGAGGAAGGGAGGCAGAATGATGGGAGGAAGCTGCCAGAGAGCAGCAGGCTGGAAACGGACAGAAGGGCAGGTACCAGAAATGACCATGACTCTGGGATGCTGGCCTGGGGGTGTGCTGGGTAAGCCCATTTAAAGAGACAAGGAAGGGGCCCGGCGCGGTGGCGTAAGTGGTTAAGTCCTCACCTTGCACGCCCGGGATCCCATATGGCCGCCGGTTCTAATCCCGGCAGCCCTGCTTCCCTTCCAGCTCCCTGCCTGTGGCCCGGGAAGGCAGTCGAGGACGGCCCAAAGCTTTTGGACCCTGCACCCGCGTGGGAGACCCGGCAGAGGCTCCTGGCTTCGGATCGGCATAGTATCGGCCCGTTGCGCTCACTTGGGGAGTGAATCATCGGACGGAAGATCTTCCTCTCTGTCTCTCCTCTCTGTATATCCGCCTTTCCAATGAAAAATAATAAAAAATAAATCTTTAAAGAGACAAGGAAGGTCAAGGACAAATACAGAGTCGGGGAAAAGGTGGCACACCAAAATGGAATCTTGGATGGACAGGGTCTTCTGCTCTGTGAGTTACTGTCTTTCCCAAATATCCCACATTGAACATGCATCACTGAGTAACCAGAAAGAAGTTGTTAAACAAAGTGCTGTTTATTAGCAAACAATTTCCACTGTTCACAAGTACCTAGTCCATATAGCTCATAAAGGTATTCTAATTTTAGAACAGTATCTATATTTCGAGGCTTTTACAAAACCATTCAAAACTAAATAAGAAATAAGAGTTTCACATTGTCTATTTTTTCTTTCAAGAAATATCTATTTTAAAGCCATATATATATATGTATTTGTCGCATGTGTGTTTGCATTGAAAAATCTATGCATCTATGCATCACTTCTAGGCCTTTTGGCTAAGAACGAGTGTGAGAAATCTATGGCATATAGAAGTTAAGAGGATCAGATATGTGATAGAATGGGGGGAGCATGACTTCTCTTGAACACTGACATTTTCTCATCTTTGAACAATGTGAAGACATTACTAACTGAAAATTAAATTTAAAATAAAAATTAACCAGGTTTAAAAATTTTGATCGAAAACCCTTCTAAACATTTGAAACTTGTATGTTAGAAAATCCTGGCTTGCATTAGCAAATGAGTCATTCTTTAAAAAGAGATTCCTCCAAGCTTTTTCTGTTTCATTTTTTTATTTCCTAGACAATGTAATGTTACAATGTGATGTCACATTGCCAGTCTGGAAACTAACAGACCTATAAAAACGAAACAAATTGGAGAATAAAACTCAAAGATCATGATGGTTTTCGGTAGTCATACTTTAAAGCAGAATGAATACAAATTAAAATAACAAAACCTAAATTCCTAAACATGGTCAGAAGCCATGGAGGCCACCAGCACCATATTTAGGGCTTTTGTCCACCGACCTCATGTCGAGCAGAACCACAGTAGCATGGAATGCCCTTTCTAGCTCCTTTTAAGAAGGATTCTCTTTTTAAAAATTTGTATGAAATATTCTATTTTTAGAAAACTAAATTCAGGGTCAGGCATGATAGCCTAGTGGCTAACGTCCTTGCCTTGAACGTGCTGGTAGCCCTGCTTCCTATCCAGCTACCTGCTTGTAGCCTGGGAAAGCAGTCAAGAATGGCCCAAAGCCTTGGGACTCTGCACCTACATGGGAGACCCAAAAAAGCTCCTGGCTCCTGGCTGTGGATTGGCTCAGCTCCAGGTGTTGTGGCTGCTTGGGGAGTAAACCATTGGATGGAAGATCTTCCTCTCTGTCTCTCTTCCTCTCTGTATATCTGCTTTCACAATAAAAAAATAGTAGATAAATCTTGTCTAAAAGACTAAATTCAAAACTGTAGTTCCTATCTGAAGATACATTGTAATACTCCTACCACATGCTTAACAGCAAGCTGCAAAATTTACTCAAAAACCAAACCCTATGAGAAAAAAAGTTGAATGATTTGTCACATACAGTTGTGACATTGTGGACCATTACATTACAAACTTGCACTTGAGAACAAGTAGTTTCAAGTAATTATTAAGGGAACAGTCACAGTCCAACAGAGAAGGGTCATTAAACCTGTGTTCCAAGTGCAGCCAGAAGGCACTTTAGCTCAGCAGTTCCTCTGTCAACTCACATCACCTAACTACCAAAGTGAACCCAAAGCTTAAACACATAGGTTTTCAAATCACATGTCCAGAGGGTTGTAAATCCTCCACTCATGATGAAATGACTCGCATGAGTCACTTTGTGTTCCACAAGTTGGGCCCAGGGTCTCTAGGTTTCAAACTTCCAAGTTCCTGATGCCACTTTTGCTTTAAGTGGTCCCCCTCCTCTCCCCAGCTAGAGTTTTAGCAAAGATGAGGGGAGGTGGGGCAGTTATCTAGCATAGAATCAAAAAATGCAAAACTTGGAACTAGAACCAAAAGAGCAAACTTGAAACTGGCACTTGGCAAGAAATATGAGAACCTCTTGCTATTCATGTCCTATAAAAGAGTTATGGTAAACTTCTTCCCTTCTTGAGCACCAGAAAGTAGGCTCAAAAATCAGTGGCAATAGTTGGATACAAAACAACAACAACAAAAAGCTGGATACAAAGTAGTCCTTCCAACATGCCAGGACGTGTGTAGGAAACAGACCTGTAGACAGCCACAAGAGAATGAAAGCATGAGGCAAAAAAACAAAAAACTCATGTACCTGGAGAATCAAACATCAAAGGGCCCATGAATTGCAGCTGGAGAACAGCTTGACTAGATCAGTCAGAAAGCATCTGACCTGGAAGATTTCATGAATCATCTAAGACAAAAATTGCATGTGAAATGAGGTAAATTTCTAATTTTGGTTTTCCTTGGAACAGACTTGCTCATTGGTAAAGTACTGCTATTCAACAACATTGTTCTCTGTGCTATACAGGCCAGAGCTTGTTCTGATGAATCAGTTTCCACTCCTCACCTCACATGAACACTGGCAGAACAGAGTGTCTTACCAAGAGTAATCCCTGTGGCATCAAACCTGCCCATCACCATGTGAATCCCTGAAATCAAGGTCAGTAGGGTACCATGACAGCTAATAGCCCAAGTAACGGTAAACACCAGTAACATCACTTTCCATTCCATCACTAACATTTTGCATAAAACTTTATCAAATATTTTTATGTTTTTTTATCTTGTTTGGCACCAGCCAAATGTGTGAGTAAAGGAGAGAGAAGAGGAAAGAAACAAAACTGAAGTACAAGGTCTTGTAGGTTTTATAAAATGAAGCAAGATCTGGTGGTATCTCAAAAAATTCATAAAAGATGGAATTAAATGAGCCTAAGTGATGTTTTTCATAATTGTCATTTTCCATGATCTTTTTGCAGAGTCTTTGCATTTCAAAAAATTTTCACCAAAACAAATGGATGTTTTAGTTCTGTTTTCCACAAAACGTTTTTGAAATATGTTTGAATGTAGAACTTGGAACCTGCACAGTTCCTTCATAACTCTCTGGGAAGATTATTGCTACAGACATTGTCAAAAAGCTGTGATGAAATCACCTGCTATTCCTAAACACTAAACTGTCACACACACATGCAGACACTTAAAATTAGACAAATGCATTGCTTCACACAACCTCCAGGGCAAGGATAAGTAGACAAGAGTCAACAAGGAGGCCTCCAGGTGTCTGTACATATGCACACTTCACAGGTAGAAATGCCAGGGACCATTAAACTGCTTGCTAGAGGCCTTTCAAAAGAAAGTACACTGAGGGCCAAGCACAAAGGCTCAATGGCTAAACCCTCACCTTTCAGCAGCCAGGATCCTATATGGGTGCTGGTTCATGTCCTGGCTGCTCCACTTCCCATCCAGCTCCCTGCTTACCAACTGGGAAAGCCATAGAGGATGGCTCAAAACCTTGGGACCTTGCACCCATATGGGAGACTCAGATGAGGCTTCTGACACCTGGCTTTGGATCATGCTCATATCCAGGTATTGCAGCCATTTGGGAAGTGAACTAGCAGATGGAAGCTCTTTCTTCAGGCTTCTCCTTCTTTTTGTAAGTCTGATCTGCCTTTCCAATAAAAATAAATAAATCTAGAAAAAAACTGGTACAATTGCCTAGCAGCTAAAATCCACTCTCTGCATGCACCAGGATGTCAGAGGGGGCCAGTGTGTGTCCTGGCTGCTCCACTTCCCATTCAGTTCCCTGCTTATGGCCTGGGAAAGCAGTCAAGGATGGCCCAAAGCCTTGACCACAAGACCCTATGCCTGTGTGGGAGACCCAGAGGAAGCTCCTGGCTCCTGGCTTCAGATTGGTCATTGTCACTTGAGTAGTGAACAAGCAGATGAAAGATCTTTCTCTCTGTCTCTCCTTCTCTCTGTAGAGCTGACTTTCCAGTGCAAAAGAAATAAATCTTCAAAACAAAAAAGAAAGAAGCTCATCAAAAGTCTCCTGATTCTGGAGTTTACCCTTGAACAGGCACTAGGTTCTAGGAAAATGGAACTATGAACTAGACCACACACCCAGGACTTCACCATCAAACCCCAGGTGGCCTAACAAAAGAGATTTCAACAGCAGTGTTTTGTAAGCTGCAATTCTAATATGGACATATCATGAACCAGTGAAAACAGCAGCTCCCCATACAGGTTTTATCAAGGATATTGCTAGTGTTTGGTTGATGTTAATGATGTCCGCTGTGATTTGAAGCAATGAAACTTGAGCCCAGCTATTTCCATCTGGAGTACCATCAGAAAACTCCATCCACCAACTAAACACACCCAACCACAATTAGGTACAGAACTACACATTTTCTATCACGTTTCCAATATCTTGTGGCTGAGGCTCCAAAAGTTGGCTGGATTGAATTAGTGTCTCAGAGAAAGGGACGTGCAGGACAAAATAAATATCAAGGCTTTGTTCCGTGTCCTTGGTTCTTTCTTTTGTGTCATGCCATCCATCACTTGCAGAGAACGACTGTTAAGTGGCCAAAGGCTACACATATCCACCTGGCCAGAGACTCTTATCACCAGCTTTTAGCCTTTGCTGTATGAAAAAAATGCTTTGGGAAGACCATCCTAACATGTAAATTAAACATAGTTCTTCAGTCAAGTGGCATTCAAAGTCATGCAATGCTAGCTACCCGAGAAAAGTAGTATAAAAACTACTCATGGAAAACCCATTATAGATGCATTTAACTTTCACATATTTATCAAGGCACTCTCGAAAGATATTTTCCTGCATTTCTTAGCATTTCTTATGAGTAGTTGCATGTGCAAAGAAATGTTCATAATATCGTATGATAGCCTATATCATTACAGTTCACTTTCATGGGAAATAAAGTCAATAAGCCATGACAGCAGGTAACTGTAAGTTGTTATAGCTCCTTAGGCTCAGCTTCCTTATCTATAAATCATTTAACCACAGAACTTTCAATCTCCCTCCCAGGTCTACTTTAAAATATGATTCCAGGAAATACAAAGAAAACTTTCTCTTGAAACTGAAAAAGAAAAAAAATTAAGAACAAAAAAAATCCAAAATCTTATTCTCAAGGTATCAATGTTTCAAAATGAAGCTGCTTCCTTAATCCAGTGCCTAGTATCTCTCCGACCAAGGACAACCCCATGATAACAACCCAATAAACAGCTCTGATCCCTGAGATGGACTCTCTGCCTGTCTGTCAGGCCAGAGCAGTAGAGTGTGTAGTGCAAGGTGAAGGCTGTTGATTACAGTGCAATTGCAAAATCTGAGGATACTCAGGGAAGAGAAAGGTGCTTCTCTGTACACTGAGTCTTGCCTGAAGCCAGTTTTCTTCATTGGTGGGTTTAAATTCGTTTCACTTAGTTTGAGTTAGGTGTTCTGTCAGCAACACTTGAAAGCTTCTAGTCAACACAGATGTTGACAGTAACCTGCAGTTTCTGTTACTGGAGCAGCTGAACAGTCTGTTAAGAACAGTGGTTCCTTGGGTTCAAGAGAAGTTTGAACCAAACCTAATTCTACTGAGTATCTCAGATTCACAAACCACAACCAATTATTCTATTCAAGTTACACAATTAAAGCTACATACGACCTATGTCTTCAATAAGGAAAAGTGTCTAATGTTCAGACTTATCAAAAATAGTATTTTCAAAAAAAGGTCAGAATTGATGTATTGAAAAAATAGAGGACAGATGGAGACCAGCTCATCATCTGTCACAGGTTCCCATGCAGGATGGGAGGAAAGAGGATGTGATCAAAGGTTCCTTTCAAGCTTATTATTCCATCAAATTCCCTTCTATGATGAAGGCTGCTCCTGTGGCACAGGAAATACTAGTCGCTTCCTTAGTGTGAAAGCAGGCTGGGGCATCTGTCTCATTTTTCCACTTCTGTCCTTTTGTTGACTCACATCATTATTAACAGCCGTGAGGATGGATAGGATGTCTTCACCTCTGTGGACAGAGAGAGAGAAATATGTTTCAATAACCAAGAGAAAGTCACACATCAGATTTTAGAAAGAGACCACATGCCAGGGCTGCATAGATGTGTGGTAGATACCACAGTGCACTGATACTGTCTCTTCCATTCTTGGTTCAAGGATGGATACACAGGGCTGCATGACACATTTCAACACTTAGAATGGAGTCTGACCAATGGTGGCAGGTACACAATATTCACAATACAGACTATGATCAACACCATATAAAAAGTAGGTCTAGTTTCATTACCAAGTTCAAGATAGAACTTACTGACTGACAGGATGTTCCTCCATGGAAGAGGAACCACATTTGCCAGAACACTTTAGGGTAGAGTAATACCACCAGAAACAAATATAAGCTCTAGAGACAGGACTCAACTTGCAGTTGTAGCTTAATCACTTACTAGCTGTATGATCTAAGCAGGTTACAAATCTGACTTAGGTTCCTTAGCTCTAAAAATGGGGAGCATAGGAGTCCTCATTGCTTTTTTTAACGATTTATTCTCTTTTTTATTACAAAGTCAGATGTACAGAGAGAAGGAAATACAGAGAGGAAGATCTTCTGTCGGATGATTCACTCCCCAAGTGGCTGCAATGGCTGGTGCTACACCGATCCAAAGCAGGGAACCAGGAACTTCTTCCAGGTCTCCCACATGGGTGCAGGATCCCAAAGCTTTGGGCCATCCTCGACTGCTTTCCCAGGCCACAAGCAGGGAGCTGGATGGGAAGTGGAGCTGCCGGGATTAGAACCAGCACCCATATGGGATCCCGGCACATACAAGGCGAGGATTTTAGCTGCTAGGCCACGCCACCAGGCCCTAGTCCTCATTACTTTTTATGGAAAAGAAATATTCTATGTGTGTAAGTATATACATATATATATCCAATCAATTGATGGATATCTAGATTGATTTCATATGTTTGCTATTGTGAATTGAGCTGCTATAAACATAGGAATGCAAGTACCTCTTTCATATCCTGATTGCATTGGCTTAGTACATATTTCCAGGAGTCCAATGGATTTAGTTTTTTGAGAAATCTCCATACTGTTTCCATAATGATTATACAAATTTACATTCCCACAAACCACATATTAGGGTACTCTTTTCACAATATTCTTGGCAATATTTATTTCTCTTGGGGCTCAGGGAGCGATGAAAATCATGGCTCTGGTGAAGATGAAGGAATTGATCAAATGAGGTTGTTGCCTGCAATGCCAGCATCCCATAAGGAACCACTCCATGTCCCAGCTCCTCCACTTCGCAGCTCACTCCCTACTAATGGTCTGGGAAGAGCAGACCCTTGCCAATCAGGTAGGAGGCCTGAATGAAGCTCGTGGCTCCTTCCTTCAGCCTGGCCCAGGGCCAGCTGTTGTAGCCATCCAGGAAGTAAACCAGTGGATGGAAGTTCTTTCTCTGTCTCTTCCTATGACTGTCCAAATAAATAAGTAAATATCTTTACAAAAGAAAATACATTATATAAAATAAGGAGTAAGAGGCAAATGCAAAGTTGACTCTGGCTCCAATGCTGAATTATGGAAGAGAATTGTAGCAAGTTTTAAAAATGTGGATTGAGGAGTAGGAGCTCCTGGAGAGATCTGGGAAGGTGAGCTCAGGAAGAAGGGAGCTGATGTGAGGACCCAAGACAACAGAGTCAGGTGATGACTGAGGTCAACTCAAACAGTCATTCATCAATCCAGCTCAACAATACACCAGATACTGTGTCATATACTGAGAGTGGAAAGTGGAATGAAACAGAGTCTCTACCTTGCAGGAATTCAAAAACAAATAAGCCGGAGATGATAATATAGGAGGTGTTTGATTGAAGTGTCAGTGATCTCCAGGTACAGCCAAATCTGCCAAGAACACAGAAGGAAGAGAGAAAAGGGGAAAAGGAGAAAAGGGGAAGGTGGTTTGAGGAAGAATCTTGGTGAGAGAGTAAGAGAGAAAGAGGGGAAAGGGGAAAGGAGTGAAGAATAAGGTCTAGGAGGAATCTTGGTGAAGTCCCATTTTCAGGGTCCAGATAAAAGTATGTGATAGGGCCTGGTGCAATGGTTCAGTAGCTAAATCCTTGCCTTGTAAGCACCTGTATCCTATATAGGCACCTGGTCTTGTCCTGGGTGCTCCACTTCCCATCCAGCTACCTGCTTGTAGCTTGGGAAAGAGAGGACGGCCCAAAGCCTTGGGACCCTGCGCCCATGAGGGAAACCAGGAAGAATCCCCTGGTTCCTGACTTTAGATTGGCTCAGCTCTGGCCATTGCAGCCACTTGTGGAGTGAACCATCAGATGGAAAGACTTTCTCTCTGTCTCTTCTTCTCTCTGTATGTCTACCTTTGTGATAAAAATAAATAAATCTTTTTAAAATGTGACAGAGAAAGAAGTGAAGTTATTGAGTCATGGGAAAATTATGTCTAAGTCAGCACATGGCCATTATAAATAAGTGAACAAATGTTCTTCAGGTCATTGTTCATGCTTTGCCCAGAACATGCTTTGCTCAACTGTTTGCCAAAACATCCCTTTCCATCTCTAGAACCCTCTTCTGATCCTCCAAATCTTGGCAAGGTGCTCATTCCACCTATTCTCCCAACACCTACACTTCACAATGTATGCCTACCATCTGAGGATGCTCTTTCACTCTTTCATCAACATACTTGTTTGTGTGTCTATCCCACTAGCTTATGAGTTACTTGAGGACAAATATTGCTTCTTTTGAATTCCCCTATTTTACTTGCCATGTCCACACTGGGGCTCAACAGAAGTTTGTTGGGTGGATAAGCAGGTGATGAGTGCATAATAGATAAACACATAGTTGAAGAGATGAATAAACAGGTAGCTGAATGGAACAAGTCAGAGTTCTCACCTTGGGACCAAGGCTTTCAAATGTTCACAGAGAGACTGTATATACCAGCTGCCATTCTTCACATGCCGAACAGATGCATACCCAGGGACTGTAGCCAGACCAAGCAGGAAATCTGCCTCATTAGGGATGCTTTGCCGAAGGGAAGGAGTTATACACTCAGGATTCACAGCATCAGTTTGGATGGATGCAACAGGTTGTATCTCATCCCCTTGACAGGCCTGGATGAAGAAGAGTTTAGGCTTGCCAGCCAATCCAGGACATTGCTGGGCTGTGAAGTGAGATACAATGTCCCGGATGGGAATGAGGACTTCATCAGAAGAGTAGACAGCTCCAAATTTGCCATGGGTCAGGACACAGAACACGAAGCAGTCTGCATGCTTATGGTCTGGGTGGCGCTTCTCCTCCTGCAGCAGTGCGTCTAGGGCTTCCTTTGTCTTATTATTATATGTGCTGACTGTAAACTCAAGCCACTGAAACACTTGTGTCAGGCACTCTAGGCAGAAAAGGAGACAAAAGAGGAGCCAATGAAGTAAAACAAAAAAGGTAAAGAAATAATGCAAAGCGAATAGTTATCAAAACTGCTTGAAGCTTTGGACTAGTTCTACTTCCACAACAATAAACTCTGACAATGATTTCTCATAGGACCCACAGGGCTGACCCTAAAGTCCTGAAAGTCAGCTGTGATGTGTAATCCACACCATGTGTCTCTCCCATGGTGGCACTCCTATTAAGGGCACAGCCAGAGCCAAAAACCAAGTCTTATCACACCCAGCAACCCAGTATGCTCTCCCTCGTGCAGGTGGAAGAGCTGTAACTAGCAGGAACTCCTGCCACTCAGCGTAGGTTGGTGATACTCCAGGAGCTTAATAACTTGGATAATAGCATCATTACACTGATGTGAAGATGAAAGTACCAGAAAAAAATGAGAAAAGAAACAAGTGATTTTTCAGATCCCCAATTCGCCTTGCTATGCTATTGCGGACTCACCCACATCTTTCTGGGTCCCATGCCTATTTGGCAGGGAAGCAGCAAATATCTCGTTGTTGATGATGACACAATGGCCTCTGTGTTTCTGGTCCATCCTATACATAGCGGCCTTGAAGAGAGGGAGACCAAACTAATTAGCAGCCAACCTTACATTAGGGGGTTAAATGGGTTTTTTCCCCTAACCTTTAGATTAGGATTCTATCCAAAATATAAAGTAAGGGAAATGATTGTATTTGAATTGTTTCAGAGAACAAATGTTCACACCAACAAATTTTAGCTTTTAGTGCCTTTGAAAAGAAATGTATTGAGAGAAGACAAGTGGCAGTGCAGGCTTCTGACCACCTCTGGTGACATTCTCAATAGATTGATGGTGTTCATGTGACAGTGCAGCCATTTGTTTTACTTCTCTACCTTGTGAGAGTGCTAAAAAAAAAAAAAAAAAAAAAGCACACACACACACCCCTAAATAAAATGAGAAAGACAGTCGCTGAACTGATGGTTAGCAAAAAGAAGGTGAAATAGAAATGCTAGAACAAAAGGACAGTCCCAGGTGAGACCAGGAACAGCTGAAGACATGGACATGGTGTTGATCTCCCATCACCATGTGCGGCCACCATCATGGCCCCATGGAGCCCATTCTTTTGCCTGATGACACAGCCTACAATGTATGTAATCAGCTGTCCCAGCATGGTGAGTTGGTTTAATGTATATCCTCCTACAAACTTTCAGGTATTCACTGAATCCCTTTGCTATGCTGGTAGCCATGACTTCTGGCCATATCCTCCCTAGCTTCTTTCCCAATGTTGCTCACTCACACTGCCCAAACATCTTTCTCCAAGCACTTAGATGCCTATACCAAGAACTGCCTGATGTAGCATCCACATGGAGAATTGTTTTTCTTTCTAAGCACCCCTGTGACATAAATCTAGTCATCATTCCTGACAGCACGGGATTCATATCCCCACATTTCTGAAACTTTGTGGAAAGCCACACTGCTAGAAGGGGAAAGGTTGAGGAATTAAGATCCCATGGATCAGGCTCAGTGCAATAGCCTAGTGGTTAAATCTTCACCTTTCATGCCCAGGACCCCATGTGGGTGCCAGTTCATGCCCCAGCTGCTCCATTCCCCATCCAGCTCCCTCTTGTAGCCTGGAAAGACAGTAGAGAGTTGCCCAGGGCCCTGGAACCTTGCATCCACGGGGGAAACACAGAAAAAGCTCCTGACTCCTAATTTTAGATCAGCTCAGCTCTGGCCTTCACAGCCATTTTGGGAGTGAACCAACAGATAAGGGATCTCTAGATCTCTGTCTCTCTTTGTGTGAATCTGCCTTTCCAAAAGAAAGAAAGAAAAGATTCCATGGATCTACTCAGAAGTTCCTGGGGGGTGGACAAAAAACCATGTGCTGAGTCAGCTATTCCCTGTCCCTGGGATTGCAGGGTAGGAAGGGACAGTCACACACCCACCTTGGGCAAAGATCAATCCAAAGCCCTGGATTTAGCTTAGTCACGCCTTTGGCATGTTACTGAAACTCTCCTCTGGATAGCGATCCATCACAGAGGTGAAGTCCACAGTAGGTGACTGACTCAGGACAGGGGCGGGAAAGCATCACGTAAGGCTGTTCTCTTCTCGCATTCCCAGCAGTTGGTAATAAAACCACCCAGCTCTGGGACACAAGTCAGTTGCTCACTGCAGGTAAGGGCCAGTCCTTGAGGCTCAGCCAGGCTAAGCCAATTCTCAGAGCAGAGAGCGCAGAGAGAGGCCTGAGCTACAGCAGTTGGGTACCCTGCAGCTCCTGGAAGCCACACTTAGACTTGGCCAAACTGGGAATCACAAAGAAACTGCATCATTCTTCAGGAAACAAAGCAGTTTCCTGCTCACTCAGCTACACTGTAATATAGCCAAGTCCTTGAAGGTCCACTCTGGTGTCAGACTGACTGATAAGTTCATTTCTACCCTTTTATAGCTGCAGGAGGTTCGGGGAAGTCCCAGACGAGCTAGGACCCAGCTTTCTGATCTTGAAGGGAGAACAACAGCAGTACCTAGATGGCTGGAGGGTAAAATGTGATGAGTCTGTAAATTTTCTAAATAGACCCTGGGATTGGGTAAGGTATACAAGAATGGTGCCTCCAGCACCATCAGCATCACATTGAGCAACCTCCAGGTTTGGCCAAGAGTGAAGTGTCTTCTGTGTCAGAAACACAATGAGGAAGGGGCTCTGATAAACTGACATCACAGAGAGACTTCACCAAAATCCTGCTTCTTCCTAAGCAGTTTAGTCCAGTGGGAGATTCTGGAATGTTCTGCCTAAGGTTCTAGCTTCAGGCAGGGATGCATGCATTACACACACACAGCACTGCCACCTTTCTCCCCAGCTTCTTCCAACTGCTCTCCCTCCGACCAACAGGAACACCAGCCACATGCAACTGGCTCTGGTTGCACGTGTTGTTCTGTCACCATGACCCACAGACATTTAGCACTCTCCTGACCTGATTGTGAGGTATGGAGGGAGAGCAGCAGCTGCCTGAATTCTCCAGAATCTTCTAGACTAAGCTTGAAAGCACAAGGCAGTCATCCCTCTCCACCCTCTCCACAGGAAAGCCTAGAGCAGTCTCCGAGTGCCATGAATTGAAAGAGAAAGACATTCTCTATTAAGCCAGTCAGCTTTCTCTCCCAAGGTGTCTTGACATATGTCAACTCTGACTGTGTCCCTGCCCTGCTGGTCCCAAGTTGTGCCACATGCACCAGGAATACCTTCCATAACACCCTATTTTGCTAGGCCTCTTTGGAAACAACAAATACGTGAAATGCAGAGAGTTAGTAGAGTTGGGAGGAAGGTAGAGGTCTGGGCTTGTTGCCGAGGAGGGCATAGAGCTCACACCCAACCCACAGGAGAGGTCACTGACGGGAGACAACAAGAGAATCAACAGACAGCCCAGCAAGCGTGCCTGATGCCTGTGCAGGGGGTGCTGTCCCTGCAGCCTGCTTTTCTGAGGACTGGCAACAAGCCAGTCCACCCGTAGACAAAAACTGCAGAGCCACAGGTCAGCCATTAGGTGGAGCAGGAAGTTGAAAGCAAACTTCCCCCTCCTCCAGGAGACACTGTCACAGAAAGGAAGCAAAAAGAATACTGTAGCAGGCTGTCTGCTCCCAGATAAAGGAGGGCAGGGGGAAGGAAGATGGATTTGTTTCTTTCAAAGTAACCACAGAGCAAATTAAGAAAAGCAATGGGGCATCTCTCCTTCTCTCCTTTCAAGAGGCACCCTATTTCCCGGCTTTTTATCTTGGGAGGTGCTTTCCTCTTCCTCTTCTTTCCTTGCTCACCTGGTCCATGTCTTCAACCGGTAACCAGCTTTTTATTTCTATATTAAGCTGAGGAAAGAACCCACTGAGCTTTTCTGGTAACACATTTTTCCTGATACCGAACATTGGGTGTGCCAAAGACCTAGACTGCAGACATGTGGCTCAATTCAACTGAGACAAGACTTTCCAAGTGGTCTTCAGACTCCAGATGACCCAAACATGAAACCTTGTATGACAACCAACTTCTGTCATAGCAACTTGAATGACCCAGACCATCGCTCTGTGGATCCCACACCTCCAGAGGTTCTTTACCCAAGTGACACCCATTTCAGCAGGAAGTAGCTCAACAACGTCTTCACCCTTTACCCCTACAGAAGTAGGATATGAGATTCCAAGAGATTCAAGTGGGTAGCATAAGTATTGTCCACCCATTTCCTAACTGGTTAAGAGACCACCAATGGGGAACCTTTTACCTGTAGGTTCCCATCCAACAAGGATGAGTCAGGGAATAGTTAAAATCCCAAGACCCTTCCTCAAATCTTTGGTGTCTCTCCTTCTCTCCTTTCAAGAGGCACCCCACTTCCTGGCTTTTTCTCAAGAGGTGCATTCCCCTTCGATTTTCCCTGCTCACCTGGTCCCTTCACAAAGAAAACTCTGTCTGGGAAAAGAAGAAAAAAGAAAAGGGAAGGGAAGGGAAGGGAAGGGAAGGGAAGGGAAGGGAAGGGAAGGGAAGGGAAGGGAAGGGAAGGGAAGGGAAGGGAAGGGAAGGGAAGGGAAGGGAAGGGAAGGGAAGGGAAGGGAAGGGAAGGGAAGGGAAGGGAAGGGAAGGGAAGGGAAGGGAAGGGAAGGGAAGGGAAGGGAAGGGAAGGGAAGGGAAGGGAAGGGAAGGGAAGGGAAGGGAAGGGAAGGGAAGGGAAGGGAAGGGAAGGGAAGGGAAGGGAAGGGAAGGAAGGGAAGGGAAGGGAAGGGAAGGGAAGGGAAGGGAAGGAAGGGAAGGGAAGGGAAGGGAAGGGAAGGGGAAGGGAAGGGAAGGGAAGGGAAGGGAAGGGAGAAAATAACGACAATCAAGGGGCAAGTGCAGATGGGCAGGGATTTTGTGCAAATTTCTCTGCATATACTTACTTGTTCATTGGGCTTTGCATCTGGGTTGATATTTTATCTAGCTAGACAAAAATTTAAACTATATCCAGGGGCCTGTCTTTTCTGTTTCCTTTCCCTATCCACCATCATGACCATTCTGCAGAAGACAGCTCCCCCAAAAGCACCTGACTGGGCTGATGGGGAGCAGCCAGGCCTGTTGCAATGGGAGCATTGGATAGGTCTTGTGTGAGCCAATCAGCAACCCACTCCGCAGTCCTGGAGTGGCCTCCCTGTTGAAGCCCCAGCCCCCACCAAACCAGACCAAAGCCACACTGCTGCACTTGAGGCCACACAGCATGAAAGAGCCTTAACTTGGAGAACAAGTGTGAAGGAGCATAGATTTACCTTCCAGAAGGTGTCCTACCTTTCTTCCGTCTCAAGCCACAGTTCCCTTCCTACAGAATCCTGGACTCCTTATAAGGGGCAGCCTAGGGCCCAGCCAGGTATCTGCTGGTTTGGGGGCATGCTTGAAAGAAGCTTCTGAGATTCACAGCACTCAGGGCTGGCAGCATCTCTGCCTACCAGCTCCAGGCCCTGCCTCCCATGATTAGTCCCTTCCCAGGGCTGTGATAACTTGAGTTTTGGCAGAGTCTAGAAAGGGCTTGAAGGTCAACCAGCCTCTCCTTCCCTAGGACAGTGTATCCACTGCCGACAACTCCTCGCCTGGG